AGAAGCCCCTTCCTGATGCAGGGGGCTGGGCACTGGACTCAAGAGAAGCTTCCCTCTACCCTCATGCTGCCCTCTGTCCCCTGACCTCCTACCTGGAACTTGGTGTATTATTAGGCCTAGCCTGATCCTTTCCACCTCAAGCCAGGGTCTGAGGCCACCTGGCCCTTCCCTTTTGGCCTTGTGCCTTTTCAGATCCCTCTATCTTGGCATTTTACAGCTTTGTCGGTTTGTCCCAGCAGCCCTTCTGGTCTATCCTTTCAGCCTTCTTTTCCCTGCCCTATGACTCGCTGCTCTGGTCATTGGTCTCTCCCCTTGTCTGGGACTCACTGTCCCAGTTCCACTGCCCAAGCATGAGAACCCTGCATCCCTCCCCGAGCTGCCTAAGACCCTGTGCTGGGAACCTCAGACATGGGAACCTCGGACCCATATCTGAGCTTGAAGAGCAGGGAGGGAGGAGGCAGCTGGTATGACCCCAAGGGCATCTCCAGTATCAAGAACCTGGGAGACAGCAGGGCTTGTTGTATGAGCGAGTGAATGAGTGAGTAAGTGAGTGAGTTAGTGAGTGAGTGAATGAAACAAATATAAGAGAGTAAGCAAAGCTGTTACCAGAAAGCCCAGTGTGACCTGCGGAAGGTTAAAGGTGGGCAGTGCCCAGTGGCATGTGGAAGTGGTAGTTTTCACCCTGAGCTGGCTCTCCAGCAGGGAGAGGAGAGAAAGGTCTGACTGGGCTCAGTATCCCCCACACCCTCTGTGTCAACAGGGTATAGCTACCTCCTCCATCTGGCCTGGTTAATGAATAAACCAGCCCTATCTACACTGGAGTTGGTGGGTCTGGGGGCCAGGCTGCCACAACAGATCCCTTGTGGCCAGATTAAAATGTTTTGGTGGTCCTCCGTGGGGTAGGAGGAGCTTGAAAAACAGGTGTTGTGGCCATAGGTGCAGGGGCAGGATTCCAACCCCCATTTCTCTCAAACTGAGCAAAGGTTAGAGGGGCCAAAGAGCCCTCGACAATCCCTGTTTTATACCTCCTTTATTGACCCCATTTCCCCCGGTGCAAATAAAGATACTGAAATCCAGAGAGGGGCAGGGTCCAGCCCAGGGTCACACAGCAAAATCCCAGCAGATCCAAGCCTAGAAGCCAGATTTCCAGCCCAGCCGTGCTTACTTGTCCTTCCATTGCTGCCCCCTAGTCCTGACCCCAGCCATGGAGGGAAGGTTGGAGACCGGATGGGGTGAGCAGAGCTGGGAGGTCATGGGTACCCAGAGGAGCAGTCCCCTACTCTGGCTCCCCCTAGCACAGCCAGGCAGAGATCTGGGAGAGGGGCAGAGGTTTCTGGCGGCCCCATCCCCAAGCTGCCTGGATTTGGGGGTTCTGCACAGCCAATGGCTTTTCTGACTATGTGAACACCTGTTTGAGTCTAGACTTGTCATCTAGTTTAGCCTCAGGCCAGTCTTGGGTAGAAGTGGTAGTAGATGTGTCTTCCTGTTACAAATGAAGAAACTAAGGCTTCGAGAGGTGACATCTCTGGCCCAAAGTCACATAAACCAAGCTAATCTGGCCACAGAGTCCCTGCCCTCTGTGTGAGGGCCCACATCATTACTCAACATGATGGACTTAATCCATCAATAGTTCTTTGAAGGGTGCCCATTCTCACCCACCCTCTTTGATAGATGAGAAAGCCCAAAAGGGGGAGTGGCTTGCCATGATTGGGTCACTCCCTGGGGTGGGAGGGGCTGGGGCTAGGACTGACTGCCACTCATCCCAACCTCTCTCCTGGCCCCACCCCCCAAGCTTGGGGAGCCAGCTGCCCTTGGGACAGGCAGGGTTCCACCTATCTAGCTAACTGGTTGTCACCCTCTTTCTTATCTCCTCCCTCCAAACATCTCATCTTCTCCCTGGCCCTAGGTTCAGAGGTCCAGCAGAGCCAAGACAGAGGGAAAGGGAAATCAGGAGGTTGCCATACCACCAGGGCCTCTGGGAGAAGAAGCTGGTCCTGTCCCTGGGACCCTCTAGTCACATGAGTAACCTTTATCCTTACCACTGCTCTCCCCCAACTCACCCTAGGAGCCCATGAGCAGAGAGCTGAGGAGCTGGGGACACAAGAGGCCCCAGGCCTGGCCTGCCCTGCCCTGTACTTGATGCTCACATACTCCTCCGTGCACCACAACATGGCCAGTCCTGTTTGGCCAGCCTGTGTGAGAGGCAGAGAAGGAAGGCTGGATACTCAGAGCTTCTCAGACCCTACTTAGGAGATGGGGTCCAGGGCACCCCCTGCTCAGCCCTCTTGCTTGAAGCAGATGTTAGCCGGTAGCCAGCAGAACAAACCTGGGGCTTCTTGTGAGCAGCCAGATGGGCAGGGCCCATGAGAATCGGAAGCTAGAACTCCCCACTCTCTTGAGGGGGTGTGGTTGAGGACCTGAGGTTCCTCTTACCACAGGAAGCCAGCTAGGGCAGACCTGTCTACTCTGGCTTCCTGTCCTGTGACTCCGTCCCTTCCCTTTTGGAGACAGCTCTGTAGCCCCTCCCTGCCCTGCCTCACCGTCCATCCCCCCCTCACCCGCACCCCCTATACCACAGGCCTCTCATGGGTTCCATGTCTGTGGTACTCCAAAGGGTTATGGGAAGGCAGCGGCAGGGGCCCCTGGTTTGACTGTAACAGTGCCAGGCGCTTTCTTGATATTCTCTCACTGAGTCTTCAGAACCGTCTTGTGGGTTGGGTCTCAGAAGCCTCATCAGCCAGATGTGGGAATGTGGCTGGAGCAGGGTCGGGATTCAGGGCCTTGGATCTTTGAGGCTGAGCTTTCTACCCCTCTGTGTTAGTCTGGGTAAACTAGGGGAACAAATCCACAGAAAACTCATATGCATAAGAGAGAGTTTTATATAAAGGGGAAGTGTACATTAAGAAAGCATCCCAACCCAGTGCCGCCTAAGCCCATAAGTCCAACATTAGCCCATATTTCCGACACCAAAGCCCTCCTCCATCTCACAAAACACATGTAATGACACCGACTGCAGGAGGAAAGCTGAATCAGTGAGCATGTAAGCATCTCAGCGCTGGCAGGGGTCTCCACACGGCTGCTCCAGCACCCAGGGCTGCATCGGGATAGGTCCATGTGGCTTCTCCTCAGGGATGTCTTACAGGAAGTGAGCCTTGCCAGCTGAAGCAGGGAACTGGCTAAGGCAGCTGCACCCTGGTCCGACCGTCAGAAAGCAAGAGATCCGAGAACTAGAAAGGTGAGGCTCACCAAGCCACTTATCTCTCCATCCTTCAATTAATCCCACATGTGTTTATCACCCAGGTGGGCTCAATAAACCTTAACTATCTCACCCTCCTTGGACATGGTCATGAGACTAGCAGGCCTTTTTTCCCTCAGGACTGAATGGCTGATAGTGACCTCTCTGTCCTGCTGGGGTCTCCCTGGGCTGTGTCACAGAGCCCAGCCCCTCACTGGGACCTTGGGGGTCTCACTAGACCTCTTTGAGCCTTCTTTTCTGGGTGGAAGGGGCAGGAGTTCATTAGGCTTTAGGGCAGGCATCCTCAAACTACAGCGGGCCACATGCGACCCACCGAGGGCATTTATCCGGCCTGGCGGATGTTTTAGCCCCGTTTTGTTTTTTTACTTCAAAATAAGATATGTACAGTGTGCATGGGAATTTGTTCATAGTTTTTTTTTAAAACTATAGTCTGGCTCTCCAATGGGTCTGAGGGACAGTGAACTGGGCCCCTGTTTGAAAAGTTTGAGGACTCCTGCTTTAGGGCCTGGGATTAGGTAAATTCAGTTTCAGGCTCGGCTTCTGTTGCCTCTGGGGTTCAGTTTCCCCACGTCGAGAGGAGATTGTGGGGCAGGTGGTTCTGGAGACCCACCGAGCACTTAGCGAGAAGTGAGGCAGGTCTGAACTGACACAGAGCGTGGAGGACAGATAACCAAGGCCTGGCCAGTTTGCCATCTGAGAGGTCCCCAGATAAGGGCCCTGAACTGGGGGCTAGGCTGGCTGGCTCCCACTCTGACTTGGCATGGAGGCAACAGGAGGAAGCCTTCCAAACTCAGCATCAGGG